TCGTTGATTGTGATTTATGCGACGTTATATGTAATTTATATAATTTAATATGACATGTAATTGATATAAATTTTTTTTTAAAGAATTATCTATGATAATATTATACAAAGCAACATTAGAATTTTATATTATTAAATTCTATTTATGTGATTTTATAATATTATGAAATATTATTTATTTATCTATTTCAATGGGAACTATTTAAAAAATCTAATCCATCTAAATCTTGTTTAAGACATTCTTTTCTCTTTCGAGAAAAGAAATACCTGTGAATCCAAATATTTTATAGGAATAATATTATACTCGAAAAAGTTTTCCATTTACTTATCCTATCTGGCCAAATTTCCACTTCGTCCTTGTTTGGCAACGCATCGCTGCTCTTTCGAGCTCAGATTACATCGATTTCGCAAACAACCCCGTGCCACAATTTCGGATCCTAAGCTTTGCCCGGTTCCTGGCTAGTTTACCAAAGGTTCAAGCGGATCGAGTAGAGATTTTGACGTAATTTATCTCGCCTGATGAGATTTGTTGGATCCTGTAGTTGATAGCGGTGGCGATCAATCGTCTAGCGACCTCGATTTCCGGTACAATAATTAATCGACGATTTGCAATGGAATATATTATTCACGTTAAAAATATCAAAGCTTCTTTGCTTTAAAAGGAATTTTTTTGTTAAAAATTATATGTTAAAAATTAAAAATTGGCTAAGAGGAAGATAGAAAATTGATCATCTCTGTCCAATCACTAACTGGATAAATCACTGACCATTAACTAATCGTCAACTTATGATTGACTGATCATTAACCGACCGCTAATTGACCACCAATTAATTATCGATTGACCGCTTACTAAATTTCAAATGAATCCTTTTGTGATCGAAAACACAAATATTTCCAAATAATGATATTAACATTCTCTATTCAGATGAATATAGATTTTAATTTTATCCCATTTATAAAAACCATAATCTAGAATTAAATGTGATCTATTTCACTCTCTACATAAAATACATATAAGTAAAATCTCAAATAAATTGATCGATAACGACGATGAATTTCAATTAAATAAATATGCAATTTGTTAGAAAATACATAGAAAGTGTATGTTAATTTAAAAATAATTTTAAATAAGTATTTCATTGCTATTTCATGTTCCATAAGTTCTTCATGGATTCTATAAAAGAAAGGAGAAGATTTTAAAAATAATAATTAGTAATTATTATATTTTATATTCTTTTATTCGGCTATGCACTCACATGCTCGTTGAACGAAATCCATATTAATTGCCCGAGGTCACGGCATGTCTCCATTAGTCTAGGGCTTTGTTAAGGAACAAGTGAACGGTACACATAAGGGAAGGTTTGCAACAGAATAAGGGTTAAAACAGTGTTTCATCGTTATTTTTCGCAAATTGGGCTCGCTACGCTTTGACCTGTAGCGAAAATTGAATCAGCCCGTGTATTCTGTTACTAAACGAGGAGAAAAATATTCAACGTACCGCGTTATTCGATTGTTCTTTCCTGAAAATTTTTTTTAATTTGCGATTCCTCGTTTGAAAAAACGCATTTTCCCTTTCCAAATCTAAATGAAATATTCTCTCTCTCTCTCTCTCTCTCTCTCTCTCTCTCTCTCTCTCTCTCTCTCTACAGTTACATACAGTTGCGCTTAAAAATTTCATAAAAATTTTTATAAAAGTTTACCTATTTTATTACCTATTATTACCTGTTTTATTATTTCATTCGCAAGCCAAGAAGGAACGTGTAATGAAATACTGCATCGATCATCGATGTAAATGTTTAATATTAAAAACTCGATTGGCTTTTTACGTAAAATTTACTAATAATCGAGTAACTTTTTGCTCGAGCTCGTGCATAGTAATTAGTACACGACGAGATAATTGGGAAGGCGAATTCATATCGAAGGTCTATTAGCTGTGCATCCAGGAGCAGGCAGGAAATTTCTGATTAATTAGTGGAAGCTGAACTAGGATGCGGTCGATCCATGTGGCTCGGCATTCTATAATGATTGGTTCGTCTTCGAGTTACGTATTAATATTAGGTTATCCAATTCGTTCGTAATCAATAACTCGCATTTAACGTATTCTTCTTGTAAATTAATCCTCACTGTATGAATCTTGAATTATTTTCAAACTTGAACACTATTGAAAATTATTTTTTTACGTATCAATTCATTGAGATAAAATCGGATTAAATAATGCATTGTATGAAGATATATATGTTAATCTCTTCGATGTTTAATTTCTTTAAATTAATAATTTTTTTTTCTGTGAAAAATTGTCACCATGACTTTAATACTCGATTCTATGAAACTTCTTTCTTTTCTTGAATGAACCGACAAATTTTTATAAATATATAAAATAGAATATCTTCTCACGAATAACGCATTCTTCCCTATGAAATAAATAATTCATTGCTCGACTAAAAGGGGCCATCGAAGAAGAATTTCTCGATACGTTGACAGGATTTTCAAGGGACGTTCGTTAATCGTTTGAAATAAATGTGCACGTAGGCGATGAACAGCACGATGACGCCTGTAAACGTCGTTACAGCTGCCCTATTTCCGGACCCCTGGGACATGCTAATTAAACTGGCTAATAGACGGTCCGGCCTTGGCTGGCCATCAATCGATTTAACTACAAATTCAATTGAACCTTACTTATTGGACGGGAAAAATAATTACTCGCCCCAAAGGTACTTTCTCGTTAGATAGATTCAGATTTTTACATTTTGCCCGCTAAATTATGCTCGAACGGAAATAATTGTTACGTTTTTTTTTTTGTCGTATTTAATAAAACACGCGCGCACGTGTATGTAAATTCCAATGAAAATTCCGTGTCGAGAGATTTGCAATTCATTAAATATTTTCGAATATTTCGTACTTAAAATGTTAAAATTATTTTTGTGTTTAAAATATTAAATATTTCGTATATCGTTTAATTATATATGTTTATACATATATATTAAATCTCTTTATCCGCGATATTTTAAATATTTTTTTGCATAGTTTAGTTGAAAGATTAATTATATTCAAAATGGCTACTGGAAAGGTGTGGATTAGAAAATATGACTCCGTTCGAGTTGAAGAAAGTTGCAAAGTTTGCTGAAGTAATATGTTTTTACTCTCAAAGAAAACGTTGTAATTCATGGAACTGTATTCATATAAGAAATGATATCAGCGATTTTGAGAGAGAAACTTTGACTCGAGTGAAGTTTGAAGATATTGAATTTCAACAGCTGTTGAATGAAAATCAAACGCAAGCACAAAAGAAGCTTGCGGAACAATTTAGAATGACTGGAGAAAGCATTGGCGTCCAGGAAGGTATAATAATTGATAAAGTTTTCTAAAAGCATAGAAATCATTTAGAAAATTATTATATTCATAAAATATAATAATGTACAAAAATTTATATTTATTCTGTCAGAAGACATTTTCTTATATGATTTATAACTTTTAATATAATTATAATGCATGAAAGGAAAGCTTTGGCTAGTATTCTGAAATGACTGATTTTCTTGAAATGATAAAAAATTATACATGTATAAACATCATGTAGAAGATTTTCATGATTCAATTCGTTAAAAAAAAAAAAAAAAAGATTGAAGATCTCAAAATAAACTAAGGTTATTCCAGGAGCAACAATTTGATATAGCGATGCGACAGCTATATCTTGTTTTCTACTATGAGACAATTTTCAAAGAAAGAAAGAAGTGAATAGAATTCTCTAAAGTTATGAATCATAAAAAAAGTTTCTTTAATTTCAAAGTTTGTTCTTTTGATAATAATTGAAAAATTTCATTTATATAAAATTCATTTCAAATATCATTATTTTTCCTTTTTAATTCTATTTCTATTTTAGAGAACTCATATTTTTAAATATCGAAAACTTCTACTATTATCTTTCTTTCTTTATTATCCTTTCAACTAATTTATAATATATCACGTTTCGTGATATTATTATAACTTAAACATATAATAAAAAGAAATAAAGCAAGATTAAATCCAAAATTAAAATATTTACAAAAATAATTCGCATCTTTTTTACGGCTTTCCATCTTTATAACTTTGCAGCTTTATGCAAAAAGAAAATTCCTAACCTCTACGCGTTACCATTTTATATAATGGTTACATAACCTCAAAAAACGTACCCGACCAACAAAAACTTGATGGACCGACGGCGGCAAGCAGGAAGCATTTGACGGTCTCTGAAACTAAAACGGAAGATAACCCCGGGAATTACGTTATTATCTTTAGGAAAAGGACACGCTTTTCCACGGTTTTTTCCCCTCCTCATAAACTTCCCCATGTTTCTCCATTCCTCGTTCGAGGAAGAAGAGGGGGCTCCACGGGCGCCGAATTATTATATTTTCCATGTTTTGAGTTTCGCGCAGGGTTAATTGCGCATTGATAACTACTAACGAGCTTCCTTTGTGCAAATTTTCGGGGAAGAGACGAAAGACCCGGGCAAATTTCATTCGACACGCCGGATTAAAACGTTTTCGGAACGTGGACGTGGAATTCGCTAATTCGCCATGCACAATCGTACGTTTAATCCGGCGTGACTTGACTTAGCTCCACGTATTAGTCCTCGTGCTATGATACCCAGAGAATTACTCGTGACGGGAAATCGATGGTGGGGGGCTTTCTTTCGTTTGTTCTGTTCATTTTAACGTGACAGTTCGTAATTGAAGGATTTAGAGAAGAAATGGGAAACGAGTCCTCGCCCTAGTTCTTAATGCTTTTAACCGTATTACTTCGTATTACGAACTGCGTGAAAATTGAATTTAAAGTTTCGTGAGTATTAATATTACGAAAATAGGAACACGTTGTGGAATAATCGTGATTATCGTGCGAAAATATTATTGAAGGAAGGAGGAAGATTAATCGAAATTAATCAGATGATATTCAGTGTGATATATGGTTTATAAAACGATGGAATGTGAAAAAAAGTAATAAAAGTATATCTTTGTCTTTTTGTTACAGTTCTACCAGTTGTTGGAAGCAAGTCAGGTGGCAAATACCACGCTCACGTATCGTCACGTGACGGTTTTCGCACCTACAAATCGAGCCTTCCAAAAGTACAACGGAACTACGAAAAACTTGGTTCTCTACCACATGTGTAAGTAATTCTCGTATCTTTATCACGTTCGCTCTAAGCTTTTTAGCTCAAAAAAACGTTTGTTTTGTTCTGACAAAATAAAGAAAATAAAATGGCCGTGTATTCCCCCCTTCCCCCTCCAAAAGATATTTAACTCGTAATAATCGATACTTAATAAAAGGAAAACGGAATAATAATAATTTTCACCGACAATAATAGGATGAATAAAAAATTATTTTGCTGAAGAAAAAATTGTCAAACCATTTAATCTCCTCTCTTTCAAAATTCAGCTCGAGCTTCACTCTACTGTCTTCTCGTAACCAAATGTCATTCTCAATCAGTGCATAAATCCCACGAATTCCGAATTTGGAAACCTCTCTCTTTGATCTCCCCCAAGATATGCCATGTATACGTGTATATACATGCGGGTATATATATACACATTATCTATCCACCGTATGTCTGCATATCTACATGTAAAACGACGATGGATTTGGCCGCAACCGGAGGCCTGATTGAAAATACATCAAATATGCACAGGAGTGTGGCTGTAATTCAAGGATACCGCACGTTCCGTTGCATTTGCTATCCCACAATTGCAACATCCTGTGCATTTAGACCGGTAGTCACCTGATTCCGTCCATCTTCGAAAATGTAGAGGTGTCAAAATCGTGGTGCAACGTGATATATTACCTTCGTGTACCGTCTAGTGTACCTACTCGTATATCTTGCGTTCCACGTTTTACTGCCCGTTAACTACTTTTTAATGGTGTTAATGTATACAGTTTCTGACGAATTTGATTATTTTTATGATAAATAAGTTAGTAAGTAATAAAGTTTTAATTTAATAATATATAATATGGAAAATAATATATAAAATAATGTATTTCTCTCATATTAGTTTTTCATTATTTTTCCAATAAATGTAATATTAATAATAAAATCTTTAATAAGGCTGAATATAAAAATTGATTAACAGCATCAAAATTTATTTATAATGGAATTTAATATTAATCCGTATCCTAAATTAATATATAAAATTAATTATTAATAATATTAAGCTAAGTAGAAATATCAGGACGCATAAACAATTCATCAGATTTAGGCGAAAATTTTATTATACGTCGCTTCTGAATCAGATTTTAATTAAGATTAATATTCAAGAACACTCGGAAATTTGCTTTACCTGTTTGCAGTAATTCGGAGCGTTATCAATCGTATTGTGACCGTGTCAGTGGTATTAATCCCATCGGAGGTCTCTGTTCGTTTCCCCAAAGCCGTTCTTCCTTAGTTAATGCAGCGTTACCTCTGCAATCTCGCGCCGTTGCACCGACGCCGCATTATAGCGATTTACAGCATTCGACCAATCCCTCATAGTAGCCCCACTGTGTCAGAATATATGGCACCGCCACGCTCCCCTGTCAATTATTGAGAACGATCCGCGTGGATACCATGTTGACAGCTCGACCGATCGATTAGTGACATCCAACGCTCTTAATCCGGACAATTATCCGTTTGTTTAATTATATACGATCGTTATATAGCGAAACTTGAAATCTTCGAATTATCCGTGATACTGTTTCCCAATCCCCTTTTTGAATTCTAATTTTCAAATATAATTTGTGACTTTCTCATTTTTCTTACAGGTACAGAAAATTGTTTATTAAAAAGTAATAACGACGATCTCTAAGAAAATATTTTTGAATCGTGATCATACCGTGTGATTGTCATCTCTTGTGATATAAAGATTTTTGTGAAAGCCTTTCTCTTTTCACACAGGATAAGAAAATACTTTTTGAATCGATGATCTCCTTTTAAAGATCCTCTCTCTTTTTCTAACGTAAGAAAAATGTGAAGAAATAAGGAAGGAAGAAAAGGTAAAAATTAAAAATAATGTGTGATGATCTTTTGAGATCTTTCGACAGATCCAAAAATTTGCATCGTTACAAGTTTAATTAGAGCCAATCGATTACGTTCCTCGATAGTTGTCGTACAACGCGTTGCCTCCTGCATCAACAGAAGGAACATTTCCTATGCATAGACGAAGGAGGAAAGAGGGACAGGGATGAAGCGATTTCCCCTTAGACGATTGGGTAACACGAGCATAGGGAGAATTTAATCGTGTGCGGTCTCGATTCCATTCAAGCTTCGAATACGGCCGCTATGGTAGTCAACCACCGTGAAGGATAGCATGGTACTCCGATTGTCAAGGATCGATCAGTTCAGGATTGAGAAGTCACCGGAGACGGAACTATAGACCGTTATGCAATTGTTTTACATAAATAATGCACGTGCAAAATGAATGGCATGCATAATAGAATGACAGGTTTCGTTTTCTGTCTATCGATTTTATTGGAATTTTTTTTTTTTTTTTAGAATAAGTGATTATATTCCATTCCCTACATTGGTTGAATATTCAAGTGATGATATTGTTGAATGAAGATTATTTAAAATTTATACGTATCTAAATAAAAAGATGATTTTTCTCTGAATCATTTCATTATAAATGAATTTTATTTTGTCTTTTTTTATTTGCGTAAAAGTCTTTCGTGAAATATCTTAAATTCTTTCTACTTCTATTATCTACTTGAAAAGTACAAATCACCCTAAAGTTATTTAAATTGAATGAAATTTTCATTAATTTTTCTTCAAGATATTGCTTTCTATAGAATAACCAAACTATTTCTATTTAAATATTTAATAAATCAATTATCTATAAAATAGATCACAGAAATCGTGAAATTAAATCTAATATTAAAATTAAATTAATTTAGATATCATTTTCCGTAGCTAATATTCCTATTTTTAATTGAAGTTAGATGCAAAATTGAGGAATACTACAATTCCCTCAAAATTCTTCGCGAACGAGTGCATTCCTCGCAAACAATCTCTTGAACAAAACTGGAGACAAAAAAAGGACAGAAGGAAAGAAGAAGTACCTGGCACGTAGATACAATAAATCTTCGATTTTATAGTCATATCCGCTTTTACACAACGATTTCCTATATTCAACCGCCCCTTCGTGACCCGGAGGCGTTTTCACGATTGCCTGCGAAGAAAGTGCACGCGTGAAGGAAACAAGGAATTAAGAAGGGCGTTGCCGTTTTATGAAGAAACTTCCTTTCCGCGTTTAAGACGCCTCGAGCGACGAAGGGTGGGGATGGTGTTCGGATTTTCCCCGAGTTACTCTTTGAACGACAAAAATTTCATTCCCGAGTCAATCTCGTTATTGGATGACGAACTTCTATCTAACAATTTTCAATAATTTTATTCGAATCGTTATTCCTTTAATTCGTATCGAATTCGTTATAAAATCAGGAGGGATATATTTTTGTTGCGATATTCCTACGTATTACTGCTAAATATGAATAAAAGAAGAATGTTTTTTTTCGAATATTTTTATTATTTTAAAGGTATATAAATTTTCTGATATAATTTTATTTAAATATTCATGATTTATGCGTGAAGCTTTATTTGGTTCAGTGGAAGAATTATTTTTATACTATCATTATTCAACCGTAATTTTTTATTTAGGTTCGATGGACGAGATTATAAATTTCGACGATTTTATTTCAATGCGCCATCCGCATTTCGTTTATAGGGATGATCATTATTTCCATGTCATATTTTAAAATATACAAAATAACGAAGAATTCGTATATTTTAAAAATACTACATTTTTTTTAAAAAGTAATTTTAAAAATATCGTCAAATTCGTATCAAAAAAAATGGAATCTTCACGTTCAAAAACTTAAAAAGAAAATTCAATGAAGAACTTACAACTAATTCAATAATAATACGTAGCAAAATATCCGGTCCAGTTGGGTATATAGTGTAACAACATCTATGATCAGACAAGTGGAATAAAACGTTATCAAGTTCCACGAAAGTGGAACAAATCAACGTTTTACGAGACAAGTGAAATAGTTCCATAAACGAACTTCTTCGATTGAAAAAAGATATAAAAGAATGTTAAACTTAAACTTCCACAAATCGAATAATTCAAAAAATAATTATATTATAATATACGTTACTTGAATATTCATTCTTTAAATAATTTAAATAACGCCAGAATCTATTTAACATCTATAATATAATAATCTATCAAGGAAAAAAAATTTATCTGTTCAATTCTATCACTTTCGTAATTGCAAAAAAATTAATGGCGAAAATAATTGTTCAAAAACTTTCAAGTTGAAGAAGAATTAGCCATCTATACGCGTCTACTACCCTCGTAAGATGCACAAGGGGAATAGATAGCGACCTTCATTAAGTCTCCTTCGTGTTTAATCCACGATGAATGCCGTCGTCGAGGGATGAAACAAGGGGGTACATTGCCCCTTGCGTGAAGAAGGGTATCTATAGGTATTCGTAACCTTCGTCGTCGGCTGCCAAGCCGAGCCACTGACGGATAATCGTCATTCACAAGGAGGATTTCTTTTTAGACTCCCTCCTGACTGGCTCCAAGTTTAGATACCGAACCAACCCCTTCGAATACTTGAAATACTCGAGGGCCTCCTTCGTGGGGGCTGTAACGAGAAACGTGGCTCGATTAAGACGTGAAAAAACTTTCTCTGTTGAAGAAGAATCTGCGAACGACAGGCGAATTTTTTCCATGGAAAAGCAGTCGAAGTTTTAACGCGTAATTTATGAAATAAATAATATCCTGATATACGATATATGATTTTGATATCGAGGTAAAAAATTGTAAAAATTCTTTTGAAAATTTTATTAAAAATTGTGAAATTATTAATTGTTAAAGAAAATCTAAATTTCTATGGGAAAACTTTTGTATTTTTTAGAAATACAAGATTTTACTGAATTGCTTATCTGAATTGTATTTAATTATTGGTTTGTTTTAATATGTTTTTAATAGTACAATCTCGAGATACGAAATGAATCATTTGCTTTAAGTATTCGATATTAATTCTGGGAATAGGATATCGATTTATACGGCTATAAATGAAGGTACGGGGATGATAGCTCCCGTGGTCGTGATGGCTATTGTTCTATCGTAGTCT